ATGGCAACATGAAGTTGCTAAATGCTCACTCTCTTCCAAAAGTCCTGGATATTGTGTTGTTGACAAGGCAGTGATACTTTCCGAAGTTTATGCATTTACCAGGCAAACTGCATGAGTGTTTGGTTTTTTTTTCTTTTTCTTTTTCCACTTCCTGCCCTCTTCAAACTACCAAATTTTGTAATGCCAATCCCAAGCATTCAAATCATGAATTGGAGTCTCCCAAAAATCATGTATTTAAAACAAAGAGGTTTTGGTTCTTTCTGTTTGCCTCCAAGTCCTTACTTTCTGTATCTCCTGTCTTGAGCATATCTAGGCACGTGCAAAGTCACAGAGCTCGTGCTGGATTTCATGGTGCCTGTTCTTGCTTGAACAGGGTCTCTGCAGTGTTCTGTGATAACAGTTTTGCTGAAGCCAATACCAACTGCTGCAAAAGAAGTTAAGCTAGTATGGGGAACTGCTAGTGAGAGCTATTCTCTTTCTGGAGCCAAACACACAGCATGGGGGTTCTTCTCAGAAAGCTAAAGCACAAAAAAAGGGCATGTTTTTATTTCTAGCATCTGTATATGGTTTAACTCCTTTTTAAATCTGTGTTAGTGATGTTTGAAATGCAAGTCAGTGACTGCTCACAGCATTCTGAATTTTTTTTTTTTTATTTTTGTTTACTGGGAGCAAGAAAGCTGAACAACTGCAGGGAAACAAGTTTTGGCTCATTCTTATCTGTCTACATTACCAAATGGTTCCAAATTTTCCACCCAACCCTTCCCCCGCAGGTTCACTCTGCCATTAGATTTCTACTGGAACAATTTCAAGCCTATAACCTATCTCACATGCAGGGTTTGGTTTGGCTCAGCCATTATTTAGAGGTGGAGATATAAAAGCATCTTGCCTGTCTCCATGACTTGGATTCAATGTCTAGGAGTTGTCTTCCATTCCCATTGTTTATTTTTATAACACTGGGCACCTATACACAAGCAAGGAGGCTGCTCCAACGCACTGTAATTACAGCATGTCAGAGCAGACACAATTTAATTGAGTCTGCTGGAGTGTGGTAATTACTGTGCTCCAGCAGACTCCAGCATCTTGTGCATCAGCATCCCTGCACTTAAAAATGGTGGTGGGGGTGCTTTATCTAAAGGTCATTGAATTAGCTTTATATAAAATGCCCCCGCTGCTATTTTAAGTGTGAGGACACTGATGCACAAGATGCTCTGGGTGCTTTAATTAGAGCAGCTCTGAGAGATGCTTGAATTAAAGCAGGCCCCTCCCCCATTCCCAGAGCATGTGTATAAATGCCCATAGTGTTCAGCTCAGTTGCACTTCAGAAAGAAATAACCCTGTCCAATTTCCCTACCTCCCCCTACTTCTTTTTCAGCCAGCTCAATCCAACATACCTTCTGTTTCACCCTTGTTATATCTCTCGTCCTTCAGCAATATTAACCAAATATTCTACCTGTGGTTCTAATTTATGGATCTGTATATTTTTGTCATTTTAATTCGAGGAGTGAGCCTTGGGCTGTAAGCATTCTCCCTGGGTAAATTAATGCTGGGAAGGAGAGCCATACAGATGTTTGGGTTCGAACATAAAAATAATCTAACACCAGTATCTTTTGCGTGTTGGACAGGGACTAGCCACCTTCAGCAGGGTCTGATTTAGGTGGTTTATGTGGATGCTGTTTGATTGTGTGGTTATGCTGACCAGTCACTGTAAAACAGCTGAATTGCTTTAGTGCCTATAAACTCTGTCCCTTGTGTTTTATAAGCAGCAATTCTCTCTCCTCAGTTAATACACTTTGGCATCTAGGAGAAATTACACAGCGGGGACTGCCAGAACACACTGCAGAACACTAAATAACCTGTGTAATGTAGCTTTCCTTTTGTTGTGTAGTGAGGTGGCCAACCTTCACACCTCCTGTCCAAGAGAATTAGGAGCAGACACTGATGGACTAATAGCAGAGTAATACTGTCTTGGTGGTATTCACTGTGCAGGCTTGCTAGGAAAGTAGTGTATCTTCCTTCGGTGAAGTACTAAGCCCTCTTTACAAAGGACTGGCATGATGTTAGCAGGCCTTTCAGACTCCCCCATCATCCTGTTTTTTTGTACTGTCCTGCTGTCAAGAGCTCAGTTCAAACCTTGTCTAATTGGGAGGGTAGCATTAATTCTTTGCTTAACCCAAGAATGTGACCAGCCGAATGAACTTCTACCTCTGAGTTAAACACAAATTTAAGCTCATTATCTCTTATTTTCAAATGCCTTCCCATAATATATACTGAAAAGTATTTTACTTAATATATTCTTTTAATACTTTCACTGTCAAAATCTTTTCAACAAATAAATGTTTTTACTTACTATGGGAATTTTCTTTAGCAATAAAAAGGCATGTAGGTTGTTTGATGGTTGACTCTATAAGCTATTGTCCGATACCTTTAAATGTTAAGTTTTAGAACAGATGTAGTCAGATCACTCACTCACAGATTTGCTCACTTTGAGATCACTTACTTCCTTGCTGGGAGATATCAAATGTATTTTTCTGTCTTTTCCTCTGCCTTTTCACATTTAAACATCCAAATATGCGCAAACTCCTGAGCTGCAGATCAGATGTACAAGTGCATACTTAACTCTGATCTGAACAGAGTAGAAACCAATCTTGGGGACAAGCTTGGGGAGAAAAGTGATACACTCTAAAAAGTGAGGAAAGAGGACAAGTTTACTGAACATATTTTTAAACAAACATACTACACTCTTCGTAAGTGGCTTCTAACATTTGAGTGCCCAGATTCATGTAATTACATAGTTGATTTCCATCCCCCTGCCCCCCCCCCCCCCCCCGGAACCAAAAACTTTGTAAACCTTTG